CAGCTCGTCCCTGCCTCCCTAACCTGTTCTTCCTCCCACCTATCCCCTCCTCCCACCTCAAGCCGCACCTCCATCTCCTACCGACCAACCTCATCCCGCCCCCTTGACCTGTCCGTCCTCCCTGGACTGACCTATCCCCTCCCTAACTCCCCACCTACACTCACCTTTACTGGCTCCATCCCCGCCTCTTCGACCTGTTTGTTTCCTCTCCACCTATCCTCTCCTCTATCCATCTTCTATCCGCCTCCCCCTCTCTCCCTATTTATTTCAGAACCCCCTTCACCTCCCCCTTTTCTGATGAAGGGTCTAGGCCCGAAACGTCAGCCTCTCTGCTCCTATGATGCTGCTTGGCCTGCTGTGTTCATCCAGCTCTGCACCTTGTTGTCTCGGATTCTCCAGCATCTGCAGTTCCTACTATCTCTGATTCGATTTTAACACCATCAATCGTTCGACGACACCAACCGTCCGTACCACGTCAACACATCGAAAGATGACATTAGTAGTAAGTGTGACGTTGACTTCATATAACTGACAGCGGAGGCTCTTTGTATCGGCTTCCGAGTAGCTCGCCGTGATCGTATAGTGGTTAGTACTCTGCGTTGTGGCCGCAGCAACCTCGGTTCGAATCCGAGTCACGGCATTGCGGGTTGGCAATGACACGGCATTGGAAGCATTTGTTTTTCGTTCCAAAGCGAACACCAGCCTATCCTTTTCAGTATTTTTAAATTAAAAATCAACCTCTTCAGTTTTGGATTGAAGGAAAATAAAAAAATTAAGAAAAATGAATTCACTGGAAACAGCTAAAAGAGTGTATGTAACCGAATGGGCCTCAACTGTACTTTGGCAACAAGACTTAGGCCGTGGCCTTTCCCCACTGCGCCATGGTGGTGGCCACCCAAGGGTTTAGCATGTCCCTCAGCAGGTAGTTCTGGACCTCAGAATGTGACAGTATACAACACTTGGTCAAGGTCTTTTCCTTGTTCTGGAAGACCAGCAAGTTTCGGGCAGACTAAAGAGTGTCTTTCACCAAGTTGATGGTCCTCCAGGCACAGTTGATATTACTGTCAGTGTGCTACCCGGGGAACAGACCGTCAAGTCCTGTGTCATGGATCTGCAAGAGATGAACTTCAATAAAAACCACTCATTGCTCTCCAGACTTCCTTTCCAAAGGCACATTCCAGAAGGAGTTGTGTGACAGTCTCACACCTGTATTTATGCCGTCTAGTTTTGGACTCCCCTACCCTGGGAAAAGACTTGGCTAGTTACATTATCTGTGGCCCTCATGATTTTATCAACCTCTATAATCTCGCCCTTCAGCCTCCCACGCCAGGGGAAAAGTCCCAGTCTATCTAACCTCTCCTTATAACTCAAACCTTCCAGTATTGGTACATACTTGTAAATCTTTTTTGCACCTTTTCCAGTTTAATAACATCCTTCCTAAAGCAGGGCGACCAGAATTGCATGCAGTACTCCAAATATGGCCACATCAATGTCCTGTACAGCTGGAACATGACATCACAACTCTGTGCTCAGTGCTCTGATGAATTATGCCAAATGCTTTCTTCACCACCCTGTATACCTGTGACACCACTTTCAATGAACAATGTACCTGCAAACCCTAAGTTTCTCTGTTTGATGGCACTCCCCAGGGCCCTACTATTAACTGTGTAGGTCCTACCCTCCTACCCTGAGTTGTCCTACCAAAATATAACACCTTGCATTTATCTTAATTAAACTCCGTCTGCCTTTCCTCGGCCTACTGGCCCAGTTGATCAAGATTCTGTTGTACTCTTAAATAACCTTCTTCACTGTTCACTATATCATCAATTTTGGTGTCATCCACAAACTTACTAATCATGCCTCCTATATTCTCATCCAAATTATTTATATAAATGACAAACAACAGTTGACCCAGCACTGATCCTTGCAACACACGACTGGTCACAGGCTTCCAGTCTGAACAACAGCAAGGTCAGTCATCTCAGCTCTAGGACAGCTCTGCATGAGTTCCTCAGGATAGTGTCCTAGACCCAACCATCTTCATCTGCTTCATCAATGACCTTCCCTCCATCATAAGGTTAGAAGTAGGGATGTTCGTCAATGATTGCACAATGTTCAGCACCACTCATGACTGCTCTGATACTGAAGCAGTCCATGTTCAAATGCAACAAGATCAAGACTATATCCAGGCTTGGGCTGACAAGTGGTATGTAACATTTATAGAGTCATAGAATAATACAGCATGGAAACAGGCCCTTCAGCCTAAACTAGTCGTTGCTGATTATGGTGTCCACTCAGCTAGTTCCAATTGCCCGCATTTTGTCCATATCCTTCTAAACCCTTCTCATCAATGTGCTTATCCAAATGTTTTTAAAATGTTGCTATTGTAGCTGCCTCAACAACTTTGTCCAGCAGCCCATTCCATAAACGCACCACTCTCTGCATGAAGAAGTTGCCCCTCAGGTCCTTCTTAAATCTTCCCCCTCTCACCTTAAACCTATGCCCTCTAGTTTTCAATTCCCCATCCCTAGGAAAAAGACTATATGCATTCATTCTGTCTATACCCCTCATGATTTTATACACCTCAATAAGGTCACCCCTCATTCTCCTACATTCCAAAGAATTAAGTCCTATCGTGGCCAACCTTTCCCTATAACTCAGGCCTATTTGTCCTGACAACATCCTCGCAAATTTTCTTTGCACACTTTCCAGTTTATCTATAACAGGGTGACCAAAATTGTACACAATACTTCAAGTGCAGCCTCACCAACCTCTTGTACAACTGTAACATAACATCCCAAATCCTATAATCAATGCCTCAACCAATGAAGGCCAGCATACTAAATGCCTTCTTCACCACCCTGTCCACCTATGATGCTACTTTCAACAAACTATGTTCTGGTACTCCTAGGTCCCTCTGTTCCATAACACTCCTCAGGACCTTACCATTTACTGTATAAGTCCTACCTTGGTTTGACTTTCCAAAGTGCAACACCCCACACTTATCTATATTGATGATGGGAGGTGCCGGTGTTGAACTGGGCTGGACAAATTCAGAAATCACACAACACCAGGTTATAGTCCAACAGGTTTATTTGAAAACACAGGCTTTTGGAGCCTCAGTTCTTCTTCAGGTGTTAGTGACAGAGGTAGTATCAGACACAGAATTTGTAAGTAAAAGATCAAAGGTTCACACCATTGATGAAGATATATTAAACAAACCTACACACAAACACACACACACACAAACACACGTGAATCTATGGGGTGAATTGTAAATGTAGATACATTTTATCTTGTTCAAAAAAGCACACAATTTATAGACAATCAGTCAATTTGGCGTTTGATAAATTCCTACTTTAGAAATAAAACCAGTCTAACTCCAAACTAAAACACAAACAGATTCTAAACAAGACTTCACACCTAACATGCGATGTCTGACCTAAAATGTCACCTCGTCTTTACACTGATAAAACCTTTAGTTCTCCAAGAACCATGACTTGAAAGAAATTTGGGGATTTACATATACATGTTAATCAATTAAAACTATCCCATCCGATCAAGATCCCTCTGTAATTTTTGATAACTTTCTTTGCTATCAACAATTTGTGGCACACAAATGCCCAGGCAATGACCATCTCCGGTAAGATTGCCCCATGACATTCAATGGTGTTACCATCACTGAATCCCACACTATCAACACCCTGGGATTACCATTGACCAGAAACTCAACTGGATTCATCATATAAACAAAGTGGCTACAAGAGCAGATCAGAGGCTATGAAAATGAGTGACTCACTTCCTGATTCCCTAAAGCCTGTAGACTATCTACAAGGCACAAGTCATGAGTGTGATGGAATATTTTGCACTTGCCTGTAAGGGTGCAGCTCCAGCAACACTCAAGAAGCTTGACACCATCCAGGACAAAGCAGCCCACTTGATTGGCACCATATTCACAAGCATCTACTCCTGACACTTGGAAGCAGCAGTGTGTACAATCTACAAGATGCACTACAGAAATTTGCCAAAGCTCCTTAGAAAGCACCTTCCATACTCATGACCAATTCCATGTATATAGCAAAGAGCAGCAGATACATGGGAACAGTCACCATCCTGACTTGGAAATATATTGCTGTTCCTTCACTGTCGCTGGAATTTCCTCCCTTAGGGCATTGTGGATCAGTCTACAGCTAGTGGACTGCAGTGGTTCAAGAAGAAAGCTCGCCACCACCTTCTCAAGGGTAACTCGGGATAGGGAATAAAATGGTGGCCCAGCCAGCAATGTGAATAAGAACAGTTGCCTTCGTATAAATGCAAAATTCGAATGCTTATGAGGAATGACACGGTTTTGTTTACATTCCAAGACAACCTACTTCAAATTCAATAAATTAACTGTCCCTTGGTTCATATGACCGAAAGACGTCAGAAAGTAAGCTTTCTCCATTGAGGCTAACGGCAGCAACTACCCCAAACTTTAACACATTCCTCAGCACTGGGTCTGGGAATTTGGGAATGCGCCAATCCGCAACAGTGGTCACAGGCTCCTGTCATTCTGGAACTGTAATACCAGAATAAACCAATAGGGGACTGCAGCCGCCAATACCTGCACTTCGCTATAGACCCGGACTCAGATAATCCTTATTTCTTTGAAAGAACACTGAAATAAGTGAAATCAACTGAATAAAGCTTTCTGCTGAAATGACTAATTTTTACAACTAGATTCGAGTCAGCCGTTTCACGGAATACTGTCAAAAAATGTACAGAACTCTGCTCGAATAAGAATCTATGCAAATTACGTTGCCTGCTGGGTAATAGCAGAACAAATTAAACTATTTCTTTTTCAGGCAACTATGTAATTGAGAAAGATGAAGCGAGATAAACTGTTTCAATATGGCATTCTTTACAAGACACTAGAGTCCTCTGCGAACTGGGCTGCTGGTCACTCTGTGTTAAAGGGGATTGGCTCGGAGTGCAGAACGGAATGCGTAGAGATTGTCGTTAAGACTATACTTTTAGGGATCATTTCTATAGTTTTTGACTTGAGAAATGGGTTCTTAATTGTTTGGTTTCACCAACCATGAGGACGATACAGAGCGTCTTCTTCTGAGCGTGAAGCTGGTTAGAGAACTTGCTTTTGTTGCGAGTATTTTTAACCATTGATGATCGTTCTGCTCTTCTTGAAGAGTAAGAGGAAGAAAACGCATTCTGAGTGGTTGGTTGTACAAACATCAATGAGAGAAATCGGTTTTCGCTGTTTCTGATAGATGTACTCAGTTTTTCCGGTGATGCTGACTTATTAGCCTAATTCCACTATGCTAAGCAGATATGTTAAATAAATCCAGCCCATTTGGTAGCGTTTAGCCTACATCTCTTTAATGTACTCATTCTGATGCTTTTTAAATGTTGATTCCACCGCTTCCTCTGGCAGTTCATTCCTTTCTGCGTTTTTCCTTGCGTCCCTTTTAAATCTTTCCCTTCTCATTTTAAACCTGTGTCCTCTAGTTTTGGACTCCCCCTTGCCAGGGAAAAGACCTTGTCTGTTTACCCTATCCATGCCCTGTCCATGATTGTTTGAGTGATGAGTCTTAATGTTTTAATAGTTTTGTGGGTATCAATGTTAATTTCAACTTAATGCCCTTGTAACATGTAATCTTCTTTGTGGCCTGACAAACAGTAGTAGATGGGTGAGTATGGTAGGGAAGAAAACCCAAAGACCATGCCAAGGGCACAGAATACTGTGAGGTGATGAGTAAAATGTGGTAGAGAGTAAGCCTGTGAAAAGAGTTCTGTTCAACTGGGGTGGATACAAGAAGCAGAACATCAGACTGTCCAAAGTTGTTGAGCACATCTGCAAGAAGGACATAGCCATGTCAAATCAAAAACTTGGCTTGCAGGAGTGATGCTTTCTCACCACATTACCTACAACCTGGTCATCAAGTACATGGCACAGTTGCTCTATGTACCATAGTCTGGTACATACCCTACTCCTGAGTTGTGCCAGTCAAAGTTACCATAGTCTGGTACATACCCTACTCCTGAGTTGTGCCAGTCAAAGTTACCTGAAGTGTCAACGGTTATACTTGCTGAGGATGATAAGCAGAATGGTAGTACGTTTACATTACGACTATATTTTTAGGGATCATTTCTATAGTTTGTTACTTGAGAAGTGGGTTCTAAATTGTTTGGTCTCAATAGCATGAGCTAAAGATGTACTGTCTCCTCCTGTGTGAAAAAGGTTAGACATGTTGATTTATGTAAAGGCTCCTAGCCCGCTGATGATCGTTCTTTCTTCTCTGTGTGGTAAGGTAACCTTCAGCACCATTTGCAACTCCTCAGATACTGAAGCAGACCTGAACAATATCCAGGCTTGGGCTAAGAATTGGCAAGTAACATTCATACCACTGAAGTGCCAACAAGAGAGAATCTAACAAACACCCCTTGGCATTCAATGGCATCATGATCACCAAATTCCCCATTATCTCACCTCCTGACTCCCCAAAGCCTGTCTATCCTTCTCAAGGCACAGGTCACTTGCCTGGAGAAGTGCAACTCCAACAACACTCAATAAGCTTGACATCATCTAGGACAAAATCTTGGAAGTCCCTCCCTAACAGCATTGTGGGTCTACCTAACCAAATGGACTGCAGTGATTCAAGAAGACCACTCACTACCATCTTCTCAAGGGTAATTAAGGGTGAGCAATAAATGCTGGCCCAGTCAGAGAAACCTGCATTCCTTGAATGACCTCTTAAAAATTCAGACGCCGACCGGTTAGTATTTTTAATACTGAAGATTTTCAGTTTGATGTTCTGCCCCACTGTTAAAATTGTTTATTATACCATCACATAAAATTGTTTCCTGTGTGTTGCCACATGACACGTGAACAAAGGATTCAGTTGTGAACTTCAATCAGTCTGCAGATTTGTTAAATAAAACAGCCTAGTGTGTGTTCATTGGGATATTTAAGACACTGTAAATTTAGGTGCAAAGAGGTCAGAAATAGATCTTCTCTGGAGGGCAAAATGTAAACATCATCCTGGCGGCCACCTTTGTATGTGTCTGTATCAAGCTGCTTGTATGTCCACACACTGCGAATACCAAGTGTCACTCCATGCTGTGGTTCTAATACAAAAACAAACTACTGTGGACGCTGTGTGGTGAAACTCAGCAGCTCTGGCAGCATCTGTTGAGAGAGGGAGAGACAATTAATATTTTGAGTCCAGTATAACTTCTTCAGAACATTTCTAAAGAAGTGTCATACCGGACTCAAAATGTTAATGCTGAGGTTCTACCTCTCTCAAGTGTGGTGATGGAAGGATCAGGACATGTTCCTTCAAAATGCTCCATTCAGTTGGATCATACCATACAATCTGTCTTCATGAAAAAGTTTATGCGGGAAAACATCTTTGACTACAAATCTATTAAGGAGTAGTCCACATGTGATGTGCTTGAAGTTCTGTGGGGAAAGGAGATGATGGATCCTGTTGCATGGTTCCCAAACATATTGCTAAAATCATTTTTCAGAATGCCTTATTGCCAGAAATTTCCCTTTTCTGGAATACCAACAAGTTTCTGGCAGACCAAAGAGCATCTTACACCGAGTTGATGGTCCTCCAGGCGTTTGTCCCAAAGAACAGACTATAGAGCATACAGGCCCTTGTTAAGGAGCTGTTCGCGACGAACCTCATCACAAAGCACTGCATCTTCCTCCAGACTTGCTTTGCAGAAGGAGATGTGTGAAAATCTTAGCCCCACTGCAGCCACTTCGAGGGCAGGGTACGGTGGCACAGACCAACCAGACATACATAAAGGGTCTCACAGCCTCCTCACTTCTCACCAACTCAACTTCTCACCACCAGCCAAGTGATGTCTTGGTGTTTGTTGGAAAATTCTGGTGATGAGGCATTCTGTCAAATGACTACGACAGTCTGCTCAGGGAACAACCCGAAAGTATCCACCCTCTCCTTTTCCCTCAGGGTCTCGAGAATCCTGTGTGCTGACCACCTCTAACAGACTGGTGGTCAAAGAGGTTTTTCTTTGTAAATTTCTTGATGAAGGACAGGTGATACTGAATGCTCCAACTACTTGGAGCATTCTGTAGCAATGTGGCCAATCCCATCCTTTGCAACACTGGGAAATTTTGAACAAACATCCAGATATAACCTGGCTGATGGTGAGAAATGGTCCCTACATCAGATTGTTCCTACACACTGAAGCTCAACTTCACTGTCTTCTAGGAGGCTGTGGTGGGGAAATGACTGTTGTCCACTTCCTTCTTGAATGCAGTTTTGCAAAGCTGGTCTAGAAAAAGTTGCAGTATTTTTTTTGTCAAGGTTCACCCTGAGCAGCACCAGAACACAGGGTTTCATGCAGGCAGGACTGTTGGAGGATTGTCAACACAGTGATAGTCCATCTGAAACTTGCAGGTCTCCAAGTGCAAGGAGCTGTCAACGAAAAAATATTGCAGCTTGGCACTTCCAATGTCCAGGAAAACACGCTGAGGGGTGTACTCCAGTTTGGGGCAAACAATGTGAATAATTAATAGGGAAAGGCCACTGTCTATGACTCTTTTGCCAGATAACACCAAGGAGCTAGAATCTATGTAAAACCCCTCAGGCTGCATGTTTGTCATGAAATGAACATTGCAATATAACTGTAGCTGTAAATGTTACACTTTGTGCCACATTGAAAGAAACATATTTGCTTGCACTTTTTATGATGTTAACTATGAATGGTCACATCATGCATGTTTATAAATTTAATGATTAAAACATATTTTTGTCGAAGATACAGTATGAGTGGTTATTGTCCTTAAATTGAAACAGAGTAATTGAAGTTTACTTCCAGACATTACTGTGGTGGTAATTTAAACTCTTTTTTTTCAACAGAGGTCCCTCATATAAAGGAAGTTAAATTTAGAACTGCATCTAACAATAGCTTCAAACAAGATCAAAATGTTGCAATTTATGAGAAAAAAACACAATGGGGAAGATTAACTTTTCTTCAACTCTAAGCAGTATATGATCTGGAACTCAATGATGGAAGGATGGAAAATAATAACATTTAAAACAGAATTAGATAAATTACAGTGGGACTGAAATCATTTGTAAGTCAAATTGATTCAGGGTGGGAGGCAATCTTCCTAGTTGTAAAATTTTTTTGTTTCCATCCATTCCTGAAGTGAAGTAGTGGCAATCTGACAGCTTTGAAGAATTTCCCCCAGTACTGACTGTTAAATTATAAGATTTATTTAACTTAAAGTCCCAATTTACCATGTTAGATTTGAACTTATGATTGCTCGGTCAGTATTCCATTCCCTTTTCTTTAATTTCAAAAATATGCTTTATTCATACCTTTATCCTTCTTCAGCCTATTTCTGAAGAAGGGTCCTGACCCAAAACGTCAGCTTTCCTGCTCCTCTGATGCTGCCTGGCTGCTGTGTTCCTCCAGCTCTGCATTGTGTTATCTCTAAAGGCATTTCTTACTTGTACAAGACTATACTTACATGTATTTGAGGCACCGGGAGAGTCCAATAACTGAACGGACGCCCACTTAACTTCAGCAGAAAGACCTTAAACTGTGCTCGCAGAGTTACACAGCATAGAAACAGACATTTCAGTCCAATCAGTCTATGCCGACCATAATCACAAACAAAACTAGTCCCACCTGCCTGCACTTGGCCCATTTCCCTCCAAACATTTCTTATTCACATACTTAGCGAAATGTCTTTTAAACATTGTAACTGTACCTGCATCCTCCACTTCCTCTAAAAGTTCATTCCACACACAAGCCACTCTGTGTAAAAAAAATTGCCCGTCATGTCTTTTTTTAAATCTTGCTCCTCTCACCTTAAAAATATGCACCCTAGTCTTGAAATCCCCCACACCAGGGAAAAGCCACCTGCTATTCACCTTATCTATACCCCTCATGATTTTAAAAACCATTATTAGGTCACCACTCAACCTCCTACGCTCCAGAGAAATAAGTCCCAGCCTGTCCAGCCTCTCCTTATTACTCAAACATTCCACTCCCAGCACCATCCTGGTAAATCTCTTCTGAACCCTCTGCAACTTAATAATATCCTTCCTATAACAGGGCAAACTGAACAGGTCTTAGTGCTCCAGAAGAAGCTTCACCCACATCCTGTACAACCTCAACATGACGTCCCAACTTCTATACTCAAAGGTCTGAGCAATGAAGGAAAGTGTGTTAAATGCCTTCTTAACTACCCTGTCTATATGTTACGCAAACTTCAAAGAATTATGTATCTGAGCTCCGAGGCCTCACTGTTCTACAACACTCCCCAAGGCCCTACTTTTAATTGTATAAGCCCCACTCTTGTTTGTTTCACCAAAATGCAATATCTCGCATTTATCCAAATTAAACTCCATCTGCCACTCCTCAGCCCATTAAACTAATTAATCAAGATCTCTTTGTAATCTTAGATAACCTTCTTCACTGTCCACTATACCACCAATCTTGGCGTCATTCGCAAACTTACTAACCATGCCTTCTATATCTCATTCTAAATCATTTACATAAATGACAAACAAAAGTGGACCCAGTACCATTCCGCGAGGAACACTGCTGGCAACAGGATTCCAGTCTGAAAAACAACCATTCACTCTTTTAAACAAAACAGTCAAGTATCCACCCCCACCAACCATCCCCAGCACTGTCCCCATCAGACACTACTGGAGTGAGTTTAAGCCCAGAGCAAAGCTTACTCTAGCCTTTTAAAACAGAAAAGTAAAAGCTTTGAGATAGTAGGAACTGACGATGCTGGAGTCAGAGATAACACAGTGTGGAGCTGGAGGAGCACAGCAGGCCAGGCAGCATCAGAGGAGCAGGAAAGCTGACGTTTCGTGTTGGGACCCTTCTTCAGAAATGGGGGAGGGAGGAAGGGAGCTCCGAAATAAATAGAGAGGAAGGGTGAGTCTGGGGAAGGTAGGTGGAATGGTAATAGGTGAGTGCAGGCAAAGTAAAAGCTTTCCCAAGTTTTAAACCAAAATGAAACTCCAGTGCCTCTGGAAAAAGAAAAACAACATGAAAAAAGCGGCTTTTCTCAACTCCGTCCCCATCAACCACTCTTGGGGTAGAGGCAAGGGGTCAAAATGTGGAATAAATATTTCTTGTCAAAATAACAGCCCTCATGGCTCTTCCAGAGGTCAAAAATTGAAACAAAGGGAAAATAAGAGAGCTCGCTTTCTGGGGCACCAATCCAAAAATAAATGCAACTTAAAAGGTAAAACAAGCCTCTGTGTCTCCTGCCATTAAGCCAATTTTGAATCCAATTTGCAAGCTCACCCTGAATCCCATGTGGCCCAACTTTACTAATTAGTCTGCCATACTAATTAACGTTCCCTCCCACCCACGCCTTGGCAGCAGCTGCCCGTGTTAGTGTCAGCTTATATGACACAAAGTCCACAGACAACACAGTCTCCCAGTTGTTCCTGTCCGTTATCTTAGACAACAGCACGCGGGACAGGCTCTCCAGCCATTATCTCTGGATGAGCTGACCAAGGCCCTTGAGTCCTTAGAAACAAATAAAGCTCCCAGTAGTGACGGCTTACTGGCTGAGCTGTATTCAGCTCTGTGGGTCTGGCAGCAGGTGTTTAGAAAAATCAGATGCAATGTTTCAGAAGGGTCATGGGAACACTGTCTGAGGTCTTTCTGCTGAAGGTATTTGGGGGTCCGTTCAGTTATCAGACCCTCCTAGTGCCTCAAATATATGTAAATATTGGTATTGTATGTGTAAGAGAGGTTTTTGGTTTCTTGGATAGAGTCAAAGTCCAATGTTTTGTTTATTTGCTTGATATGCAACTGTACAGAACCAAACTGCTTTGGTGATAATGTGTATACACATATATATTTATATATATTGAGTTTTTTTTAATGAATGAAGTATATGTTTGAAATATGAAAAATGTGGTCCCCAATTGGGTCAGGTCAGCTCTGGCTTCAGTAATTCACTCCGACCAAGTTCTTTACTGGACAGGACGATCTCCAATCGCTTCGCTCTTCTCAGGGATGCAATCGTCTGCGTGTTGCACAGGGAGGTGGTATCCTGCCTCATCAGCCTGGACCAGGAGGAGGCTTTTGACTGAATGTTGCACAATTACAAGTGGTATGTGCTCTCCAAAATGGGCTATCATCAGGTATGAGGTCCCCTTTCTGCTGTTTGGCCATTTTCCCAAAAGTGTGCCGCTGCAGTCACCCACGCCATCTTCCACTTTATCTGGAGGTCTAAGGTGGACCGTGTCCATAGGGGCACCATGTAAAAAGCTCAGGCTAAGGGAGGAGGGAACTCACGCAATGCTGCCATCATCTTGATGGCCACATTTGTGTGCGGCTGCATTGGGCTGTGCAAAGACCCTCAGTACACAAACACCAAGTGTCATTATGTGCTGAGGTTCTTTGCTCATAAGTCCATCACGAAGTGGTCAGCACATAGTGTCCTCAAGGCCCTGTGAGAAACGGACAGGCTGGATCCTGTTCAGTTGTTCCCTGTGGGTGGGTAGAGACTGGCACGCATCTCCTTACGGAATGTGCCTTTGCAAGGGAAGTCTGGAGAGGGATACAGTGGTTTTTGTTGAAGTTCATCCCTTTCGCTCTGTGAAGCAGGATTCTATGGGCTGTACCCTGGGATGCATGCTGAGACAAACATTGACTGCACCTGGAGGACCATCAACTCAGCGAAAGATGTGCTTTGGTCTGCTGAAACTTGTTGGTCTTCCAGAACAAGAAGCTGACCTCGACCAGGTGTTCCATTCTCATCAATATATGTGCAGCAGTGCTGAGTTCACTGATGAAGTAACATCACAAACACATATAAACCTGACGCTTTCACAATAACCTTATAGTCAGCGTTATTCCTGATGTGTCAGCTTTAGCATTTTGTTGTAACCCGGCAAGAGTCAGCTATTTCAGAGAAACAAAACAGAAAATCATTTCAAGTGTGGATGTGGAAACCAGTTTGAAAAGGAAATGATGGAACTGCCGGGAAGCCGCTGTTCATTTTGATGAAAGGGCTGCGTTTCAATATTGTATTGTGATTTCAGTTCTGTCGTCCCTGCCCTCTCTAGAGCCGTCAATGGAGAGTGTTGAATCAGAACACAGGCTTGAGCAGCACCTAGGCCGCGTCACCATGGTAACTGGCGGTCGGCACCGCGCAGGCGCGGGGGCAAGCGGCCGAGTTTCCGGTCGGGCGCCGGGTTCGGGTCGGCTCGGTTCGGTCAGCCGCTCGGGAGGATGTGGAGAACTGCCGCGGTGGCGGCGCTGGTGGCCGTCACTCTGCACCTGCTCCTCTCCTATTACCCGATGGATGCTCCCGTGGAGGCCGTGCGGATCCTGTCCGATTACCTGTTCGGCCAGAGGGTGATGCGGGCGCCAGAGGAGGTGGTGGCTGAGGCCTGGGACTCGCTGATCAGAGCCCCCAGCAACGGCTGGAGCAGAGTGGCTGTGGGGTGAGGGGAAAAGCGAGCGGGAAAGAAACAGGAAGGGGGTGGGGGAAGGATTTTTGGGGGATGTGGGCAGGGGCTGGGGGTGGGGGTGTTATGGTTGGTGCAGGGGTGGGGCTGGGCGGAGAGTGATGGTTGGGGTGGGGGAGGCTGTG